AAGGCTGGGGGCAGACTGTGGAGGAGAGAGAGGGGCTCCAGCAGGGCCGGGGCTTGTGGGGGCTGTGGGGGGGCCTGTAATTTTATTCACAAATTTGTGGTTTTCTCAGAGAATTTGCACTTTTCCTTCGGGAAAACCGGGCTCCCTGCTGCTCCGGAGAAGCCAGGGAGAGCCCCAGCTCCGTCGTGTCCACCCTGGCTGTGCCCTCACCCCTGTCGTTAGGGGGAGGAGGGGAACGGCCGCTTGTCTGCACAGCACTGGATTTCCGGGCGTGGGAAGGACGCCTGCCGGCGCACATGGCAGCACGCCGTGCGGTGTGCGGGGTCACCCCTGCGAGGGCAGCACCGGGCAGGTCTGCAGTTTCCAAGCCCCGTTGCTCTGGGCATGGCGCATTGCTGAGAGCGGGTCGGGCGCAGGGACAGCTGCAGCTCACCTGGCAGCAGCTCCTCGGGTGCGGAGATTTCCCCACGGTCCTCATCGTCACAGCCCCAGAGCTGCCCCTGGCCTTGCTGGAGCTGGCAGGTGAAGTCAGGGGTGGGACCTCGCTATCCTGTTTGGGGCAGGGGTTACAGAGGGTTAGTGACTGGGCACTGCATGCAGCATAACCAACCGGGACTGAGGGAATGGGTCCAGTGAACTCCTGATTTCTATTAGGGCCTTGATGGCCAAGGGAGGACGGGCGTGTAGGAACGAGAAGGCAGTGCAGGGAGAAACCTTCGATAGATGATGGTCCTTGTCCCCCAAGCAGTGGAGGGATGGTCGTAGGAAACAAAGCACCAACCACTCCTGGTTTAGAAAGTGCATTTACCAGGGACGGGGAGCCGTGTCCAGTGCTTCCCCGCTCCTTGTGAGCACATTCTTCCTAATCTCCAACTTCGACTTCCCTTGCTGCAGCTGGAGCCCATTGCTCCCTGTCCTGCCATCTGCCCCCACTGAGACCAGCCCAGCTCCATCCTCTTTGCAGCCCCCCTGCAGGGAGGTGAAGGCTGCTATCAATCCCCCTCGGTCTTCTCTTCTGCAGACTAAATCAGCCCAGTTCCCTCAGCCTCTCCTCCCCAGTCCTGTCCCCCAGCCCCACAACCATTTCCATTGCCCTCCACTGGACGCTCTCCAATGTGTCCACATCCTTTCTGCAGTGGGGGGCCAAAACTGGACACAGGACTCCAGATGTGGCCTCCCCAGTGCTGAATAGAGGGAAGGATCACGTCCCTCGATCTGCTGGCACCGCTCCTCCCAATGCAGCCCCGAATGCCGTTACCCTTCTTGGCACCAAGGGCACACTGCTGGCTCCTGTTCAGCTTCTTGTCCCCTGTCCCCCCAGGTCCTTTTCTGCAGAGCTGCTGCCCAGCCCGTTACCCCCAGCCTGTACTGGTGCAGGGGATTGCTCCCTCCTACGTGCAGGACCTTGCACTTGTCCTTGTTGAACCTCAGGAGATTTCTTTTGAGGCTCAATCCCCCAATGCGTCTAGGTCACTCTAACTCCTAGCCCAACCCTCCGGCGTATCTACTACACCCCCAGCTTGGTGTCATCTGCAGACTTGCTGAGGGCGCGCTCTGCCATCGCCCAGGTCGCTGATGAAGACATCGAACAAAACCGGTCTTAGAGCCCAGGTCTTAACGTGACGACAGCAAAGCCAGAGTCCCTGGTCTGTGAACATGAAGATAGGCGGGAGGAACGTGGCCAGCAGCTGCCGGCGAGCCCTTGGGAGAAGCACCTGGGTTACGTCCCGTGTGCATACGTCACGAGAGGACGAGCTGAGGAAATGCTTCGTCCCCGTGTTGCAGCAGCAGAGCCTGATAAGACTTCCATTAACTTCTGCTGGGTCGTGGCCAAAGGGGAAGAAAAGGGATTTAGACATTGCAGAACCGAGCACGCGGGGATTGTGCAATGTGTCTGGAGAGGAAACGTGAGGCCAGAGAGGGAGGAAACCAGAGCCGTTCCCCAAGGAGCATCTCTTGGGGCATTTCTGTACAATGAAGTGGAGATGACACGAGCACGCTGGGAAGGCAAAGGGAGACCGCGCTGCCACGACACTGCTGTGCAGGGAAGCCCCAGGAGTCCCACGAATGGGGACGGCTCAGGGGACGGCGGCTGGACGAAACGAAGGAGGAGATAGCAGTGTGAAACGTGGGAGAGGCCTGATCCCCACAGAGCAGTGGGGAGGACGGGGGTTTAAGTCACGAGCCAATAGCTCACAAGGATGAGACTTTGAAACACAGGGAGATGACTATGAAACGCTGGAGTCTGCACAGCTCCAGGGAGAGCCAGGAGCAGAGCCTTACCCAGGGAAACGAGGGCTCGGGAATGCCTCAGCATCTGGTCCCGGTAAAGCTCCTTGCCTTCATCGTCCAGCAGCTCCCACTCCTCCCGCGTGAAACACACTGCCACGTCCTCACACACCGCCGGGAGCTGCGGGCACAAGCGTAGCACCATCGGTGTCCCCTGGGCCAGCTGCTCCCAACCCCACCGCCCTGTCTGCAATCACTCGGCACTACAGCTCATTGCAGGCTGAGCCAGGACAGGCAGGGCTGCAACATCCCCCGTTACTCAGCTGACACGAGGTGGATGCAGCTGTGGACATGGGCGCTCATCACGGCCTGTCGGCTTGGTCCTTTCAGGAAGTCAGGCTGGCACTTTTGGAGGCAGGGAGCCCCATCTCCGTGCACTCTCACCAGGCCGTCCCGTGCCAGCGCCCCCGGTATCTGGACTTGGGAGGGAGCTCCTGCTAATGCCAGCGTGGGCTGGTTGCAGCCTGCAGCACCACAGACCTGTCGCTCTTCAGGTCTTTCTGATCCCCGAGATTATTTCCAGCCCCCCTGGCTCCTCCTGGCTCTGCCCCAAATGGACCTTGTGCCCTGCTCACCTCCAGGCTCGGCCCCTGCTTTGGACGTCTGTCCTGCGCCTACTGCACTGGGCCTGGCTCAGGAGTCAGGGAGCCCCTCTCCTCCAGTCCCCCTGGGCAAGTCCTCTGCAGCTCCAGCTTCACAGGCTCTTCTCCAGGAGGTTTCTGCTCAGCGCTGCTCGGGGTCCCAGCACCTGCGGGCGCAGAAGAGCGCACAGGGCAGCGCTGGGGCTGCGGGCACGGGGAAAGCCCTGCTCGTCTCCTGCACTGGCCTGGGACTAAGGCAGACGGAGGCTGCGGTGTGTGGAAGAGGGGGGAGAAGGTAGACTCCACATCCCACAGCTCTTGCTAAGCGCACGAGGCTGGAGATGAGCCCCAGTAACTCTGTCCCAGCCCGGGGCGGTCATCACAACGCCATGCAGAGCCGGCAGGGACACGGCGCCCGGGGAACAAGCTGGAGCGATGCTGGAGCTGTGTCACATCCACAGGCTAAGGGCAGGGCAGGAGAAATGCAAGGGCAGTCCTCTCCAGGGCAGGGGAAATGCTCTCAAGACCCCTGGCAGAACAGGAGGTGCTGTCCTGCAGGAGCAGGGCTGGGTCCGCACGTCGTGGCAGAGATTTCTGCACGGAGGGACGGTGCCTCCTGCTCCTGGACAGGGTCGAGCCACCTCCCCGTCCCTGCCCTGGGAAGGGCCTGGCCTGGGGCACCAGCCCGAGCAGCATTTGTCTGCCAACAGCGCCCAGGTCTGCTCGGGCTCGGGGGAGTCTGCAGCAGGACAGAGCCCTGGCTTAGCGGTACCCAAACCAGCCGGGGCGCTGGGGGATCTCCTGTCCCTGTCCCTTGCACCAGCCCTTACTGGGCACCAGCCCTTACTGGGCATGGAGGGCTCCCGGGGGCATGAGGATGGCACGTGAATGAGGCGATCGATGGGTCCTGCGGCAGCACGACACGGCCTGAGATACAGCCCCGCTGCGCTGGGAGCTGCACGCATGCAGCGAGATGCACCGGGGCCCAGCCTGGGCGGCGGCGGGCATCGGAGCTCGGTCCCAGCCCAGCCCCGTGCTGACCAGTGTCGCAGCCCTGTCCCGGAGCTGCAGCCCCGTGGCTCTGGGCGGACTGCGGCCACGTGCAGGAGCCTGGGGCCGGCAGGGGCAGGGGGCAGGGAGCTGGGCCCGTGTGGGGGCTGCAGGGTCGTCGGGGCAGGGGGCTCCAGGGTGTGATGCCCAGGCCAGGACCGGGGGTGTCCCCGAGGGTGTCAGCACCACGGCAGTGCAATCAGCATCTGCAAGAGGAGCTGGGCCAGTGCCACAAGAGCCAGGGCAGGAGGTGAAGCCGGCTTTGCAGCCCCCTCGGAGGCCGGGCTGCCCCCGACACCGCACAGCTGCCCCCGGGGCGACGTCCTGCCCCCCGTGCTCCTGCCGCATCTCGGGTCCCGATACTTACTGTGATCGACGCTGTCCTGCTTCGGCATGTGGGCACAGCCCCCACGGCCACGGATGGGGCTGCAGCCCTTACCCCCCTGCAGTGCACACAGAGCCCTGGGCCACCCCCGTGTTCCACAGCCAGAGCCCCCTGCCCTGGGGTTCCAGACCCCCTTCCCCCCACACCATGTCCCTCACTCCCGACCAGCAGCCCCTGTCCCCGCAGCCCTCCCGCCCCCCTAATTCCTGATTTGCATCCCCTGCCCCTGAGCCCGCAGGTGGACCACACTCCCTACCAGGATCCCTTGGCCCCCGGGCCCCTGTGCACCACACTGCAGACCAGGGACCCTCATTGTCAGTCTGCAAACCCCTCCCAAGCTGGGATGTGGGAGAGACGCGGCGGGAGGGAACATCCCCCAAGCACATGGAGACGGGGACACCAGCATCCACAATCAGAGAGAAAGACTCATCTGGAGCTTCTCGTCCTCCTCCTGCCCCCGCTCAAACCCCTCTGTCAGGGCCACAGCCTCGGCGCAGGTCTGCACGCTGCGCCCCCGCTCCCAGGTCTGCATCCCCTGGGGCAGGAGCCCCCCACCACATGGCCCTCGCTCCCGACCTGCACGCTCTCATTCCCTCTCCCCTATTCCCGGTGCCCGGGCCCTTGTTCAAAGCTCATCTACAGCCAAGAAAAGCGTGTCATTCGTGAAGGACACATCGGGGGAGAGAGAATCGCGCAGCTCTGTACATTTAGCAAGTAATATGAACAATAACATCCTGCTTCAAGTACAGAGCCCTAATTGAACGGTGACTGCTGGCACGTGAATGAGGCGATGAATCGGTCCTGCGGCAGCACAACACGGCCTGAGATACAGCCCCGCTGCGCTGGGAGCTGCACGCATGCAGCGAGATGCACCGGGGCCCAGCCTGGGAGCTGCCCAGCCGCAGGCATCGGAGCTCGGTCCCAGCCCACGCCCGTGGTTACCAGTACTGCAGCCCTCTTCCCGGTGGGGGAGCCCCCGTGGCTCTGGGCGGACTGCGGCCACGTGCAGGAGCCTGGGGCCGGCAGGGGCAAGGGGCAGGGAGCTGGGCCCGTGTGGGGGCTGTGGGGGCATCGGGGCAGGGGACACAGGGTGCAGGGAAGGGTCTGTGCCCTGGGGTGGGGAGGGAAGGGGGCTCCAGGGCGTGATGCCCAGGCCAGGACAGGGGGTGTCCCCGAGGGGGTCGGCACCACTCTGCATCTGCAAGACAAGCTGGGACAGCGCCAGCAGAGCCGGGGCAGGAGGTGAA